GAGCGCGTCGGCGGCCAGCTCCCCGGCGCCCACGTTGGCGTACTCCTCGTTGGGGTGCTTCCTGTTGTAGTGCCTCTTCAGGGAGCCCGAGATGTTGCAGGAGTAATGGCAGTGGGCGCAGCGGAAAGGCTGTGGGGACAAGGAGGACGGTTAGGGGAAGGTGAGCCCCGCCCAGATGGAGCCCCGAGGATGGGGAGCTCGACCACTGAGCCACCCCAGCCGGGCCCAGGCCAGGTCTTCACGGCCTTCAGCAAGCACAGAGCCGCCTCTGCTGTAAAATAAGGCCAGAGACCAATGAAACGACTGAGGGGAGTAAATGCTGTGAAACCATGGGGACCACAGGTTCGAAAGTGGCTGCACGGAGGCCATTCCCTCATCACCACAAACAGCAGTAAACTGATCGCGCTCATTGCTTCTCACACCGGAGCTGAGAGGACTCTGCCGCATCCTCCGCTCATTGATTTTTTGTAATCACTTGTGCTGGCAAAAATGCAATATTTCTGAGACGATCGCGCGAGTTATCAGACAGACAGGATTTTAATTTAACATAAGTCGATCCAATTTCCTTTTTTTTTTTTCCAGAAGTGCTTTAAAAAAATCTCACCCCCTAGGAAGCAGAAGGTGGCGTGAGGTTTTCAGCAGCGGCAGCTCAGTTCTGACAATGTAATAAACCGCCCGCCCTGCGTGCCCCTTTCTCCTCGAACTACACGAGCTGCAGGGAGGAAGGGGAACTGTGACCTCAGACCCCTCACCTCCTACTCAGCTGAGAACCGAAAAGCAGACCGAACGCCAGCCCTCTCCTGCCCACGCTCCCCGCCCGGGGCTCAGTGACGCCCTGACCCGGGGACACGCTCCGGCTGCTGAGCTCGACCTCCGTAGGCATTTTGCTCAGGGATTTCGCTTGAGTTTGATAACTAGACACGCGACTTCGGGCTCGTGTGCTCCCAGCAGCGAGGGGAGTGGAGACGGACCCACGTGCCCCTCTGCGCGGCTGGGAGAGGCCCTTCTGGACGGAGACCAGCTCCGGCTAACGGAGACCAGGACAGAACCCAGAACACCACCTGCTCCTGAGCACGGCCCTTCTCAGTCGTTGGTGAAAAGACTTAGCTGAGCACATTCTAATCTGACAACGCAATGCATGGCTCACTGAGGACCGGCTGGTGTCACACACACATCGAACAGAAATGCCATGTCACAGTGTCTTCCGGACGACGGTCAGGCTGGTTTCCCTTTCGAGAGAACGAGCTCGCCTCCCCCACGAGGTTCTGGCCCCAGGAGAGAGGCCAGGCCCAAGCCGGGCCCGCGGGCAGAGGGAGGGTCAGAACATTTGTCTAACAAACGTGCCCCTCTGCGCGGCTGGGAGAGGCCCTTCTGGAGGGAGACCAGCTCCGGCTAACGGAGACTAGGACAGAACCCAGCACACCACCTGCTCCTGAGCACAACCCTTCTCAGTCGTTGGTGAAAAGACTTAGCTGACCACATTCTAATCTGACAACGCAATGCATGGCTCACTGAGGACCGGCTGGTGTCACACACACATCGAACAGAAATGCCATGTCACAGTGTCTTCCGGACGACGGTCAGGCTGGTTTCCCTTTCGAGAGAACGAGCTCGCCTCCCCCACGAGGTTCTGGCCCCAGGAGAGAGGCCAGGCCCAAGCCGGGCCCGCGGGCAGAGGGAGGGTCAGAACATTTGTCTAACAAGCCAGGCCTGTTTCGGAGCGAAGTCCGCGGTAAGAAGCAAGGTCAGCAGTACGTCTCCCTGAGCAGTTTCCAAAATGGACAGATTCAGAAAACCACATTCTAATCTGACAACGCAATGCATGGCTCACTGAGGACCGGCTGGTGTCACACACACATCGAACAGAAATGCCATGTCACAGTGTCTTCCGGACGACGGTCAGGCTGGTTTCCCTTTCGAGAGAACGAGCTCGCCTCCCCCACGAGGTTCCGGCCCCAGGAGAGAGGCCAGGCCCAAGCCGGGCCCGCGGGCAGAGGGAGGGTCAGAACATTTGTCTAACAAGCCAGGCCTGTTTCGGAGCGAAGTCCGCGGTAAGAAGCAAGGTCAGCAGTACGTCTCCCTGAGCAGTTTCCAAAATGGACAGATTCAGAAAACTGCTGATTTCAGACTGATTCTTTCGTTGTTTTTTTTTTTTTGCAGACTTGCACCGTCACACACCACATTTCTGACTTGCTTTCCAGAACTCACAACCTCCCACTGCTGATTTCAGACTGATTCTTTCGTTGTTTTTTTTGCAGACTTGCACAGCCACACACATTTCTGACTTGCTTTCCAGAACTCACAACCTCCTGGTGCACTTGGAGCCTCACAGACCACAGACCAAGTGCACGCTGCCCAGCGCTGGGCCCTGGGACGCATCTCAGCTCGAGGCAGAAAACGGCGGGAAGTTGGGCCAGGCCCTCGTCCGGGGTCGGGCCAGGCCCTCGTCCAGGGAGCGGGCTCTGAGAGCAGGGCAGGCCCGCAGCGCTGGGCAGCACCGGGCAGGAGACACTCACTCTGGGGGCAAAGGCGAGTTCCTGAAGAGCTCCCTGCGGGAATGGGCCTGGCAGAGGCTCTGTGGTGAGTGACACATCCATGTGGCCAGGCACGTATTCCAGGGATGTACCAGACAGGTGAGGGGGGCTGGTCCCACCCTCCAGCACACAGGCATGTCAGTCACCGCGTCTCACTAAGGCCCCTAAAGAGGACGGCACTGCCCAGACAGGACCACCTTCCAATGAGCAGAGAAAGGAAGACACAGGGTGGAGTGTGGACAGAGCTAGCATCTGCGATGCATGTGCCTGCCCTTTTGTAAGCACTGACTACGCGCCTTCTGTAGAGAGACAGGAGGCACTGCCGTGTCCCCGCATTGCAGGGAGGTGAGAGGCCACACAGGCAGCAGGGGGCAGGGGCCCTTTTGTAAGCACTGACTACGCGCCTTCTGTAGAGGGACAGGAGGCACTGCCGGTGTCCCCGCGTTGCAGGGAGGTGAGAGGCCACACAGGTAGCAGGGGGCAGGACTGCAGGCAAGACAGAGCGACCACAGGGCCAGGATGTATGAAGTCAGAAAAGGGCTCACGCAAAGCTGCCCGCTGTTCCTTCTCCCAGTGACACAGCCCCGAGGGCCCGCATCGCCCGCCTCCCTGCCCTGCCTGTGAGCCAGGCTGCGTGGAGAAGACCGCCCAGAGGGCAGGCCGAGCTCCTGGTGACGGGATCCGCGTAGCCTCCTGGCGACAGTAGCAGCCTGCTGCCTCGGTGCGGGCGGGAGGGGGGCACGCGAGCATTTCCTGGGCACCCGCTCTGTGCAGGCGCGTGCTAGGCATGGTCAGCGATCCCACGGGCGGGGGGTGAGTTGGGGTGACTGTTTACAGCGGTGATGGGAACTGAGACAGGGGGCGGCTGAGGAGTGGGAGAGAGTGCTACCAGCTAGGGTGAGGGCGGAGGGCGGGGACCCACTCATCCCGCGTTGTCAGTCCCGCCATCTGAGCCAGGACCTGGGCTAGCGGAACTAGAGGCCCCGCCCAGGAGGGGGAGGAGCCAGGGGGGCTCTGGGGTTCTCCGTCAGGCCCATCTCATGCCCAGCGGGCACAGTCCCAGCAAACACCTCAGACGTCACTTCCCATGCCCACGCCCATACACCAGCAGCAGCAGCAGCAGCCATGCTAAGGGTCAGCTGCCATGTGCCGGGCCCAATTCTTTATGAGGCAAATTCGCTGGAGTGGAGTGGCTGTCAACAAGCGAACCAGAACGGGCACAGTCCCAGCAAACACCTCAGACGTCACTTCCTGTGCCCACGCCCATACAGCACCAGCAGCAGCAGCAGCAGCAGCAGCAGCCATGCTAAGGGTCAAGCTGCCACACGCCGGGCCCAATTCTTTATGAGGCAAATTCACTGGAGTGGAGTGGTTGTGGAGTGGGCCACGTGAATACTAGCATCTGCATTAAAGGAGCGTCCACTAGAGGGACGGAAGGACAGGGCGGCCGCCCTCTCCCGGCCCCTGCGCATGCTGGGCACTGAGGTCAGCACTCCCGGGCACCATCCCCAGCTCTGCAGCAGGCGGGTGGGCATCCTCACACCTGTGGGGTCAGGGGTTCACTAAGGAATCCAGGATCTGAGGGCGCACGTGCTTGTCCCCAACACCCCATTCCTTCCTCCAAGTCCCTCCTGTCTGAGGGCAAGAGCACGCCACCTCCTCGTGTGCCCCCTCCTCCCCGTGTGCCCCCTCCTGTACACGCCTCCTGGCCTCCCTGTGCCAAGGACAGAGGATGCCACCCTCCTGAACGGAGTCCGAGGCCCAGCTCCTTCCTCCGTGAACCCCGGGGCCCGGAGGCCAAGGCGCCCCCTCCCTTCGGAAAGGCCGTGCGTTGCAGCCGGACCACCGGTGCTCCCGGGCGCCTTACCTTGAAGGAGGCATGCTGCTCCATGTGCCGCAGCAGCTGGGGCTTCTGGGCCGCCGTGTAGTCACACACCGTGCACTTGAACTGCTTCCCTGGGAAGAAGGAAGGGCAGGTGAGAGGCGCCAGGCTCCCCCTCCTGCGTGTGCAGGCAGCGCCAGGCCCAAGGCCCGGGCACTCGAGGACGCCCGTCAGCGGGAGTTCAGGGTCTCAGGGGAACCGGCAGGGAGGGGCGCAGACAGAAGGCGGCCGGGCCCGCCACAGGGGAGGGTGCTGGACGCCGGATAATGCTTCTTTGCAAGTCCTACCAGAATCCCTCTTACCTCCGCATGGGAGGGCAGCTGGGCTGGAGGGGAACCCTTTGGGCTGAGCTTCAAAGGGCTTTTAATTCATGACTAGAGACTCTTGCCTGAGCACGTACCATAAAGGCACCGTGTGCAGCCTTCACCCCCCACCCACCCGCTACAGGTGAGCAGAACCACGCACAAACTCGAGCGCACACCCCGTCTACACTCTCTCTGAAGTCAGAGGGGGCGCGGCACAGCACGGCTTTTTTGCGGTGAATTCTTGCACGCTGTCGGCGTCCGTACAAAGGGCTTCATCGGGCCCTTCACAGACGGATGTGTCTCTGTGCCTGTTGACAGGCAAACCCGTTTCAGGGAAGCCTCCCCGAGATGACCCAGCCCTCAGGAGGCCCGGGGATGAGTCCTCGGGGAAACAGGAACGAACAGGGACAGGGCACGTTAAGGCGCCGATAACTGTGGAAAACTAGGCTCCCTCGCAGGTGGAGGACGGGGTGACGGCTGCATTCCCTTCCGCTGCGTTAAAAGGTGCCGCGAAGATCCACTGAACAGCGAGCTCCTCTCCCGTATTTTAAAACATCGAATCCACAGGCATCGATTTCATGGGACTGGGAGACGAGACGGGGATCACTGCCAGGTTTCCAGGCTGCCGTGTCCCAGCCCCTCCGCGCGGCATACTTTACGTTGTTGCTGCTTCTTTCCACTCGTTTAATCAACAAAAATCAATCAACAAAAGCCTCCTACACATAAGACACAGTTCTAGGCGCCAGGGATACAAAACAAATATAGTAAAAGTCCAAGACCCCTGCTCGCGGAGCTCCCAGTCCAGCGGGAGATGCAGAAAACCGCAAGGAAGAGAAAGAGCAGGAGGCTGAGGGGGAACAGCAGGAGCGTGGAGGAGAGCAGGAGTGATTGGTGGAGGGCCCAGCGACAGAGACAAAAGTGGTGAAGAAGGAAAGGGAAGCCCACGGGGGAAAGGTAAGCCAAGGAGGGACGCTAAGAAACACAGGGAGACTAGCTGGTGTGTCTCAGTGGATAGAGCATCGGCCTGTGGGCTGAAAGGGCCCAGGTTCGATTCCAGCCAAGGGCACATGCCCGGGTTGCAGGCTCGATCCCCAATAGGGGGCGTGCAGGAGGCAGCCAATCAATGATTCTCTCTCATCACTGATGTTTCTATCTCTCTCCCTCTCCCTTCCTCTCTGAAATCAATAAACTATATTAAAAAAAAAAAAGAAAGAAAGAAACACAGGGAGCCTAGCTGGTTTGGGGGGCGGGGGTGTGATTCTGTAACACAGTCTCTAGGGAAGGTGTCTGGGAAAGGGACCCTGGGGCAGAGGCCTGAAGGTGGGAACAAGGTCTCCAGTAACATCGGGGAGAAGGTGCCGGCTCCCCGGGGGAAAGCGACCGGCTCCGAGCCCGGCCAGGGAGAGCGCACCGCCTCCCAGACACCCAACACGAGGCTCAGAGGGGCCGAGAGAGGTCAAGGCTC